AAGTTCTTGACTATATACTTTTGAATGATGGCTTCCAGATTGAGAAGTCTTAAATATCCATGCTTTGAACTACTCACTGCGAATCTGTTTCTTTATTTCTTTAGAAGGATCCAGCCAATTCTGAAAAAGTATGAGAACACATTAAGAGGAAATCCTACATAACCACAACATCTGAAACAGACAAACCACAAACTTTATTTGAACCAGCCCAACATACCTTCTGACTATCTGAATCGCAGAACGTGAGTCCAAAATAATCCTTCTCCAACAGGTTAAGGTGCTCACAGACCAGGTCAAAGAGTACTTGACCCCGACCATGTTTCTGTATGGACACAAACAAGGCAGCAAAAATTAAGAGCTATGTGAATTGCATTAACTCCTTTCCAAAGTTTATATAGCAACAGATGCAAAACAGCCGCCCTTTGACTGATCACGCAGTGAAGAACAGAAACAGAGCTGCACAGAACCAGAGAAAGTCTTATAAGGCCCACTATTCCTATCCAAACTTTTAGTTAATATAAAATTTCTAGGAGTAGCTATGCTTACAAAACAAGGTTTATTAAAGTGTTGCATACACATGTACAAACTTGAACATTTTTAACTTTGAAATGGATTGTTTAAAAATCCATCAGGCCTGACCCTATTTAGTTTCCAAGGTCATAGCCAAGCAAGCTCAGCCAACCTTGCCTTGTCTCAGGTAGCACTTCTACAAGAATTAACTGGAAAATTCCAAAGATGTGGGTTAAATTAAGAATAAGAAAACAGTAATGAAAAGCTACTTCAATAACACTGCCAAAAACCTGTAGGAATCAAATTCAACTCAAGTGCATCTTTACCTTGTTACAGAGATACATATTCTTTATCTGACATTGATCAAAATATAGACATGTAATTCCAAAATTATTTTTCTGTAACTGTCCCACTTGGAAGTCAAATTGGCATACTCTGAGGATAGTAACACCATGACCCAAAGTTTGATCTACTAATATGATTCTATGTCACAACATGTCAGCATGTAGGAGAATGAAAACTAATGGCTACATCATCAAGAACCAAAAGCAATTAACACTTCACAAAAACACTTCCATTATATAAAGAACCTTCTTATTAACCTGTGCAAAAAAAGGTACTGAATCTATTTAGGCATTTAACACTAATCTTTTTTTTCTTTTTAAATTAAAAGCAGATTTAGGAGATCAAATGACCGTGAACAAGACAGTCAAACTGGTAACAAATAATTATGTTTTCTAAGCTGCCTCTTCCCATGAAGTTTGCTATGCTGACTCATCATTGGTGTCGATTGTTCTTGAGAAGGATGAGAGAAGAACACCAAGAATTTATGCCAAAAGTATGGACTTCCAGCAGGATCATCCAAGGCATAAAGGTCATCCTAGTTGTCCTGCTAAAGGAAGCAGACAATTATATTGGGCAGCAAAGATATAAGAAGTTGCTGAAGGAGGAGGAAGATCACTTTAGTGACAACAGCAGAAGAACCATTTCAAACTGCAGTGCAATGGTAAATTATGCCTGCATTTTATAAAAAAAAATGCATGGATAGAGGGCATTCAACATGTTACAGAGTAAGAGTAAAGCTTCTTTTGAATTCCTAATGATGTTTATGATATGGCTAAATATGCCAATATTAGTTTCTGATGTGGCTCTGCAGGACCAAAAATCTGAAGCTGCAGGGGAAAATGGAACCATATTTAGATTAAATTAATGGCAAAAGGTATAACAAAACAACTATAGAACTGACAATGAAGGCACTGAAGTAAATTAAAGGAATCATCCCTCAAGAAATACACTGTATACTAATACTTAGTAAGGTAGCAATGAAAGTCTTGGAAAAGATACAGTTTAGAAGTCACAGCTGTCTATATCTACAAGATCAGGATTGTTCCAGCAATGGTTTTCCCTGTGCCACTGTATGGAATTGAAAGATAGGTGGACTCTTGACACTTTTGATTAAGGTCATTTTTGAACTTTGATGCTGGAGAAAACCAAGTATCATAGGTAGCCAATAAAACAAATAAATGGATCATAGACCAAATCAATCCACTTTTCTCACCTGAGGCATAAATGACCTAATTCAAATTATGACATTTGGGAGACATTAGGAAGAGATTTAGTACTCGTGAGAAATCTATAATGCTGGGAAAAAAATAGAAGGCAAGAGAAGAGAATGGCTAGCAGAAATTGAATTAATCTAACAGAAATAATAATCCATCTTGGTAGGCATCCTTATTTAGTAAATCTTTTCTTTAAAAAAATTAATTAAAAAAACTTATTTGGTAAATCTTGGTAAAGTAAGAATAGCAAAGCTAACCAGACCTCAGCAAGTGTTCATCAATGGGTAAATAACAACCAGTTTTCAGAAAATGGTAATTAATGTTATGCCTTCTTTCAGGCTCACATCTCTGGCTTTGAAGGTCTTTTAACAATCTATTCCAGGCCATCCCTCCACCCACTTCTTTTGCTTAAAGGGAACTTTCATCTCTATAACATTCAGTTCCTCTGCAATAAGTCAAGCCTCTCAGAATCTCGCTGTTCAAGATGTCAGCTAAAGAGCCTGACTGCAGAAGCATTGAGATCAAAGGCCCAGCGAGGCTCGGATCCTTTTAACTTTCTCCCAGTCCCTTAATGTTTTGTTCTTTATTTAGTCATTTGTACAAATTGTACAGAAGCAACTTCCAATCCATATTCAACAGATGCCAATAACTTTTTAAAAAAAGCATGGCACCCAAAGATAGGGAGGTGTTTATAACACTGAACCCTGAAAATCCTATTTAAACAAAGATACGCTTATATCTTTACTTGTCAAAAGGCTCTGTTGTATGTCCTTATTTAGTACAAGATAGGCAATACAATATCATTGGGGAAGATTCTGGATATTTGATAAGACAGAATCATCTGAACGTATACAGGTATCAGCCAATTTGGGGGTTGAACCAATATAATGAGCAACTTGATCCCAGGAGTATTAACATGGCATGATAACAGTATTCCAGTATTTGAGGGGCCAAATTATTTTCCAATGCACCAGAGAGCAGGACAAGAAACAATGGTTGGAAACTAATCAAACAGAGAAGAAACTTAGAATTAAGAAGAAACTTCCTAATAGTGAGGACAATTAACCAGTTGAACAGCTTGCCTTCAAAATTTGTGGCCGCTCCATCACTGGATGCTTTTAAGAAGAGATTGGACAATCACTTATCCAAAATGGTATAGGTCCATGATGGCAAACCTATGGCACGCGTGCCGGAAGTGGCAGAGACACTTCTGCCGGCATGCAAGAGGTTGCCCGGAAGAGCCCTACTGCGCATGCGTGCATGCCCCCCGCCAGCCAGCTGATTGTTGGGTATCTACCGTGCATGCATGGGGGGAGTCATGTGCGTGGGAGACATGTGTGCATGCGCAGAGGAATGGGACATGCGGGGGCTTGCGTGCACATGCACAGAGGCCTGCAGTGCAGGGGGGTCACGCACACATGCGCAGAAACACATAGTACGTACACAGGGGGCGGGGGAGTCACGTGTACATTGCATCATGGGTGCGCGTGCGCACTTTTGTCACGCAACATGGAAAAGATTCGCCATCATGGGTATAGGTTCTCCTGCTTGAACAGGGAGTAGACCTCCAAGGTCCCTTCCAGCTCATTGTATTCTATTCTAACAACATCTTTTCATATATAACTTTTTATTAAAGTTTAAACATTCAAAGATAAAAAAATAATGCGAACGAAGAAAAATTAAAAAGTTAAAAAAATGGAAAAGTGCTGATAAAAAAGGGGAGAGAAAAATAGAAAAAAGGGATATATAAAAATGACTTCTCCCTTCATCAACACAAGTACAAACGATTCCTAACTAAAGGGAAATCTCTTCTTTCCATATTCCATCTCTTATCTATAAACATTATAAAGCCTCATAATTCAATCTTAATCAGCAAAAGTCTGTTAAGAGCTACCAGAAGTAACATTTTATCTTAATCAAAGAAATCAGCTTCACAATCCTTTACTTTTAACACAGTAACTTATTACTTTCTCTAAAAATAGAACAAAAAGTTTCTTCTTCCCTCATCTTATAAACAAATCTTTAAAGCCTCATTATTCAAGAAAAATCCTGAGCTATCAGAATAAAGGAATTTATTAAAAATCTTAATCTTTAATCCCTTCAAAATACTGACTCATAAATTAATTTCTTTTCATTTTCTCTGTCTCATCTTAGAAACTCTTTTCCAAGTTTAACATATACTAGAAATAATAATACATATATTTAACAGAAAATCTCATATTTTACCTACATATAAATATTTAAAGCTGATCATTTTGGTCAGGAAAAGCCCATTAAGAGCTTTCCTTCCTTCCTTCCTTCCTTCCTTCCTTCCTTCCTTCCTTCCTTCCTTCCTTCCTTCCTTCCTTCCTTCCTTCCTTCCTTCCTTCCTTTTTCTTTCTTTCTTTTTCTTTCTTTCTATGCATGAATGATCAACTAAATCAACATCTGTTGTTATTTGTTTGTTTATTATTACATTTATTTGCCACCCGTCTCACCACGAGAAGATTCTGGGCAGCTTACACTAACTTTATATTCCTTCTTTTTGCTTTTAAAAATCTTGATGTTTATTCCTTTAAAACATTGTCATAAAGCCAATTTCTTTTCATTCCCACTTTCTTTTTTCAGGAATTCCTTCTTAAATATAGCACATCTCTTTTCTCAGTCCAAGGTTATCCAAGCTGCTCTTCTCATTCATTATTTGTATGTCCCTTTGAATTATTAAGAAATAAGTTGGCTCATTTCTATGTCCTATGAAACATCTTTTTCCATATCATACTTGTATCATGTCATTTTTAAATCCATGCCTGATTCTCAGTTGTATCTTCTATCTCCTCTTTTAAACTCACTTCATGGTAGCAGGCAAGAAAAGTTTCTGAGTTCATTGTTGCCAAATACCCTTGAATTCTTCTAAAGTTAAAATACTTTTCTTCATTCTGTATTGGTAGGTTTCTTCTCCTAATTATAATTTTTAGCTCTTTCTTGCTGCCTCTAGTGTCCAGCCTTCAAAGTCTCTCTTATCATACTTTCCTCAAACCACATTTTTCAATCAGGGAATTTCTCCATACTTAGATTCAAAACTGCATATATTTTTAATAGGTTTTTAAACAGTCCACAAAAAGAATTCTAATAATTAGTTTCAAAATCTTATTCCAATATCTGGCCTCTTCTTCCATTTAAAACTTTCCAAAATTAAGATTCTAATCACCCTTTTGCTGTTTATTTCTGAGTAAAAAAACGGTTAAGTTCCTAAATTTGTATGAAATCATTTTCACTATGAATTGAAAGAGAATCACCCAGTTTGATGAAACTTTTTGTTCTGGAGGTTCTTAATTTCTAAAAGGCAGTTAACAGGCCATTTCTAAAAGTGATTAAGAAGGGAAGTGGGGAAATCCAATATCCATTTGCAAACCACAGCTTGGCCAAAGCTGACTTTCCCTAGCTCCCAGGGCTATAAAGTCCACCAGAGACTATTGTTTTACAATTCCCTCATGGGGAGAATCTTTATGGATCACTTGTGGCTCATCCCCTTTATCCAGAGAGGACTTTTTGAGGCTCTGATCCATTTTCTGGCTCCTCATTCTGACAGTCATTGACTTCACAAAAAATGTAGCTTCTTCAATTTGTAATTGTTGTCCCAGAAGTCAAATATTGGCAAGATCTAAAATTCAAAAAAAATGCCTGTAAAATTCAAATTTACCATGTTTAGGCAACCCAACTCTTTCATTGGCAGATCGTAATGGAGATTTTATATCTTCTGCTTTTGCAAAAAGAAACAGGCTGTCCTTTGAAACAAGACAGTGATTCCATACATTACATGAGAAATCATTAAAACTAACAACTGTAGAACTAGAAATAAAAACTATTTCTCATTCCTTTTTTTTCTAATTTGGTTTGTCAATTGCTTACAGGATAATAGGTCTAAGTAAAAACATAGTTATGAATACATGGATACATATAAGAAAAATAAAAGAAACAAATAGGACAGGGACGGTAGGCACGTTGGTATGCACGCCCCCTACAGACCTCTTAGGAAAGGGGTGAGGTCAATAGTAGAAAGTCTAAGGTTAAAGTTTTTGGGGTTTGGGGAAGAAACCACAGAGTCAAGTAGAGTATTCCAGACATTGACCACTCTGTTCCTTCAAACCTATCAACTGAAAAAGCTTATTCGACTGCTTGAAGGTCTCTGTTTATGGGCCTTCCACACAGTAAATTGCAATAGGGAACAGTTTCACATGGCAGCTGCCAATATGAGATTAAGCAGTTTCTTTCACTCCCACATAGACACTGCTTTCTACAAGTATAGAAAAACAGGCTAACCTACAATTCCAGATATAATGTATACATGCTGATGTCCACAATCAATTGGTTTTTTCCTATCATTTGTATGTTTGTTTGTTTGTTTGTTTGTTTATTATTTATTTATTTATTTATTTATTTATTTATTCATTAATTCATTAATTCTTTCTTTCTTTCTTTCTTTCTTTCTTTCTTTCTTTCTTTCTTTCTTTCTTTCTTTCTTTCTTTCAATGGGGAACATGCAATATTTCTACTTCACTTCCATTTGTCCTGCACTAAATTAAGCACCAAGGAAGGCTCCTAAAAGAATGCCTGGTTAGCACTGTCTAATATGGAAGAATGTGCACAAATGTCAAAATTAATCATCCTGATTTAAGGAACACAGAGAAGATGGCAACTTTGGTAGTAGCATGAGGAATGAAATCAGACAGATTCCCTTACTTAAGAGACTGTACCTTGTAGAATAGGGTAACTTGAGATCATGCCTTCCAATGGTGTTGCACAACTTACAATGTAAACTATCCTAACCCTTTTTTCTGGTCCGTTGTCCCAATTCTACCTTTCCTTCTCTCTACTCTTTCTTACTGAACATCTTATGGCATGTGTTATGTGTTATGGCATTCTACATATGTCTCTGAAAGGCATCCTTCCAGAGTGTCTCAATAGCTGCATTTCTGAACAAGGTCATTAATTAATACATTTATCAAAACCTGATAATTTCACTGAAGGGAAATTCTGGCAGTATATTCTGTATTTAGACTTGATGCACACTAGAAAGTACTTAATTGAAAAAAAGCCATTTCTGGATTTTTCAGCAACAAAAGGTGGCAATATCAACGTTTGTACATAGTTAATGTCACAATCTGCAAAAGAAGAAACTCAGTGACATGTTTCTGTAATTTCAAGCATCTATCCATCTTCTCTCACACAGAGAACGTTTCCATTGGGCTTCTACTTCCATGCTACGTAAACCTCCAGTCTGAAGCAATTGAACTCTTGCAATGTCATGGTTTGATATCTCAACAGCAGTATTAAATAGACATCTAGAGCAACTGGGAGTTAGGCAGTATATAAATGTAAGAAAGTAATAGATAATATAATTTATTTTTGCTTTACCTGTTTATAGATTTACTAAGCAAACAAAACCATAGAATCTTTTGGAGATGTACTGATTCAAAGACTTCCAATTCTGTAATTATAAGCAGCTGTCATGCCCTTGTTGGAGTCCAATCTGAGGGGGAGATTGAGCAGCTGACAGGGAGTGGGAGTGTGGATCCAGTGGCTGTGGAAGAAACGGGGGAAGGGCACAGTCCAGTTGGGCATTTAGAGGAAGACCCAGGGCCATCCCCTCTTCATCCTTGGACACACAGGGAGGAATGGAGAAGGGAGCAAAGTGGCTTACAGGAGAGGAAAGGGCCTTGATCCCCTTCATGAGCTGCAGCTGGGAAGACTGTTTAAAAGGGCAAACTGCGCATGGCAAAGTTGCTGGAAGCAAAGCATGCATTATCTTTGTTAAGGCTTATCTGGATTTTGGCGTCCTCCCAACTATGGGTGCTGGATTATCTTTTGGAATTCTCCAATTTATCATCCTGGCCTGTCATGTTAATTACTTCAGCGTGGTTTGTGTTGGTTTTTTATTTCTAATTATCTTTACTTTGGGTTCAGACTGCATTTCTTCCCTTTGTAGACTTTTTTTTGGAAGCCGAGGATAACTGGACATTGGGGGCCAAGTTGGAGGCATTAAAGGGAATTTATCTACTTTGGTGGCTTTGTTATTTTTGTGCCACGCCCCGGGTCATCACAGCAACTTCTAACACAATGTATATCAGATTTTATCATCTCATGTATTAGTTCAGCCTTTCCTATTCATAGCACATTCCAGATGCATGGACTTTAAACTCAAGAATTTTTAAGCCACTAGTCACACTAACTGGGGAGTTCTAGAAGTGCATACAAGATACCCTCTTGTTGAGAAAGGTTGTACAAGAACTCATTGCAAAATATGGAGCCTGAACGTTTCCCTCTTCCTTCCTAATCCAGGTTCATCTGAAAAATTGCAACAAGAAAAGTCTCCAGCTGCTGACAACCTTCAGATATGAACTGTGCAATTCTTGTACATATTTATTTTATACTGCTCTTCAAGAATTACTGAGAGAATCAGATAATCTTAATCTATATCTACAGAAAGCAATCTTTTTCAGAATTTCTTTATTCAAGATTTATTTATTTCTGTGATGTTCCAGAAATATCAGCAGCTGGACAGAAGAGATTGCTCTTTTAACTGGTAACAGAAGAATGTCCAGCAGATTAGAATCTAACTTCTCTCTGGCTCTAAACATACCATCACATTTCTTTTGAACTGTCCGGATTTTCCCACTTTTTATAGTCTTGCCAATGATGAGAAATAAAAACAAAACACAGAAGAAAAAAACTAAACTAAAATGTTCCTGTTAAAAAAACGTATGTGTGCATTTCAGAGCTAAATCTGAATATCATTTTACATTTTGAGCATAATAGTCACAACTCAACATATGAGTAACTTCCCTAATAGGAAAATTTATCTGTGACTTCAAATAAGTTTTAATGCCATCAATAGCTATATGTAATCATTCAGGAAGGGTCTTGGCCAACTCACCATGGCCAACTCAATACAGCCAAGTCACCACAGCCAACTCATCGCAGGACAATTTGCCATGGGACAATTCAACTCTGTATTAATCATTTCATTCAGATACTTTATTATTGCTGATCACATTTTCATCAAAATTATTGCAACTCATGTATTTCTGGATTGATTTTATTTTATTATTATTATTATTAGCCATAGTTCCATTGAAATTAATTTAACTTTTGTATTTGTCCTGCAGTGAGTTGTCCCACAGCAAGTTGGCCATGACGAGTTGGCTGCAGTGAGCTGGCTATGGTGAGTTATTTCATTCCATTCAGGAAACTGCAGTGAGGATTGGAAGTATCTCCTAAAAATAGGAATAAAACTGCTTCCCACTGTTGTAGACCCTCTGGAGTCTGGACAATCAATATGTATGTTCTCCCTCCTATCCTTTCCCTGCATTACAGACTGTGACCTATCCATTTTTAAAAGAAGTGAGAAAAGACAGACTTTCCAATGTATGACATATTCTTTCCTGCAGCAGAGGGTAAGTATCAAGAATTTTCAACTATTTGCCCCTTTTTTCTTCATCATCTAAGAAATACATATTGCCTATTCACCATATAGGAAACAATGGTTCTAACATCTATGGAAATATGAACCACTACCTGGTGATCTTTTACTCTGTAGAAAAGTGGATTTATCTATAGATAATGAAGGGTTAATCATGCCAACCAAGGTTTGTAAATTTTTATAAATATTAAAATATTATTCACTTGATAATACTCAATCTTCTTGACTGAATGCTGCAAATACTGTTCCTCTTCTTTAGGAATCTCTTTAAAAATAATACAAGCACACACACTTATTGCCTACAATTCATTCTCTCAAACTATACAAATAGCAGATTGCCTACACTTAAAAATGTATGAGTCACTCACACCTGCTTTCCATGTGCATCCATAAGCATGCAGAGTTAAGCATGCAAGAGCCTTGAGCAAAGTTGAAAGTGTTATCTGTTTTAATACACTGATCTATGACTATTTTTAAAAAATATTCTTGACTTTAGCAGGTATGCTTTCCACAGAGCTACTCCATTTTTATATAGTATTTAGTGGGAAAACCAAATAAATATATGGGTGGAAATAAAAAAAAGTCAAGTGGTACAGTCCCTGTGCTCACCTCCACTTCACACTCATACTCTGAGGCATCCAGGAGAGTCACTCTGCAGATGGCACTCTTGAACTTTTTTGTGATTTTCTGAGGAGATTTTTGGGCCTTGCTGGGGGTAGTCTTCTCAGATAACCCATCTGCTTCACTGTAGTCTTTTTCATCCATGTCCACAGCCTAAAAAATAAAGGTAGAATCAAAGAATATAAGTGGTGTAAAGCAACAAGGTAACTATCTAGTGTAATTCCCTGTTCAGCGCAAGAATCAGCTACTACAACATCACAGTGTAAGACTTATGCATTTGTATGTATGCCTCCTTTACGACACTTCTGGTTTTGCTCATTCATTCTATTCACTAAACTAGGTTGACATGTTATTTGAAAAACTTTCTCACTAGCTATCCAACTGCCATTACTTGGAAGATAGAGTCTAGACCACACTCTCTTTATAATACACTGAAGATACACTAGGATCATAGTTTTTAGGGTTTGTCCATATAATGAAATGTATGATATGCTTTCTTCTGTTCTCTAACTTTACAGTAGAACTACCAGAAACTGATACCAATTACATTGACTGAATTATATTCACTTATAAAATGACTCCATTATATATAAAATATTTGTCAGAAGATAAAGTTCCAACCAGTTGGTAGGAAAAAGCACATGACATGAAGTACAAGTCTTATTTAAGATCACCACCGTGTTGAGTTTCTATAGCATGCTATTGGCTCTTCTGACCAGGACTTTTGATGCATTTACATTTCATTCATTCTTATTTTTCATTCAGATCATAATGCTTTATGAAGAAGAGTACCATGTTTTGCTGGGGAAACAAAAAAAATGGCTTAAAACTTTTTAGTCAGTGGTACAGGCAGTCTGTCATGCGCCTGGTGGAGACTGACTCTGAGGGAGAGGAGGAACAGCCAACAGGGAGTGGAAGTGTAGCTCCGGAGGTTGTGGAGGAGGCTGGGAAAGGGCAGAGGCCAGCTGAGCAGCCAGAGGAGGACCCAGGCCCATCCCCTCTCCATCCTAGGGCACACAGGGAGGAGAGGATAAGGGAGAGACGTGGTCTACTTGGGAGGAGAGGGCCTTGATCCTCTGCATGGGCTGACAACTGAATAAGAGGACGGACATGCTTACGGGCAAACACTGGAAACAAAGCGTGGAAATATCTCTAGTTTATGGTTCCTGTCTGAGTTTGGCATCCTTCCCAGTGTGTGTTCTATTATCTGTGGACATCCTCCAGCCCTTATCTTGCCTGGTTTGTGTTGCTTTTTTCTCCTTCTTGTAACTGTTTGTGTGGGAGGTTTTTGTCTTCCATCAAGGTTATTCAGAGCTTGGAAGCAAAGTGAAGGAATAAAAGGGGCTTCACCTGTTTTCTGTGACTGTGTTTGTTTTGTGTCCCACCTTGGGTCATCACACAATCTTCATCTTGTAACCATTCATTTAGTGACTGCTTGAAATTATAACAGCACTGAAAAAAGGGAAATGGTTTTCATACTTACGACTGCTACAGCATCCCCATGGTCATGTGATCAAAATTTGGGCACTGGCACTGGCATATATTAATAACATGTGATCACAATTTGTAACCTTCCCAGCTGGCTTCCAACAAGCAAAGTTAAAGGGAAACCCAGGTTCACCTAATGACCATGTGATTCACTTAACAACAGCAGTGATTCACTTAACTGGGGCAAAAAAAGTTGTAAAATGAGTTACAAATTTGGGGCTCAATTGTGGTCCTAAGTCAAGAACTACCTGTATATTTATTCAGAACATTTCTATCAAGCAGGATTGGGCTTGATTAGTACTTGGGCTGGAAGATTACCAGGAAATGTGAAAAACTATATGAACATGATGGGGGAGGGGTATATGCACTTATTCACAAAACTGTATTAGGCTTGCTTTATGTGTATAGATTATGCCATTCAGCTTTGTGTTCATTCTTGCCCTCCTAATGTATTCAGTGCTGCAACTTTAATTTTGACTAATTTTAGTTCTACGCTGCCAATCAATTGAATTTTATACTGAAAGATATTATAGGTGAAAATAAAAGGGAAAAATGCGCAATTATCTCTCGAATGAAAATCCAATAATTCCTAAAAGCAGATTTGTTAAGATTTGTCAAGCACAAGACCATTGCAAAATGCTGACAGGCTGGTGCTATGAAGTGATTTATGGAAAATAGAAAGTTTTGCTTTCAGTCTATTATACCCTGAACCTAGCTAGCATCATATTTAACCAATGCATGGGCTTTTAATATAAAAACAGTAGATGCATACCGTATGAGGAAAAACCAGGGAGTGAAAGAGGATTGGTTTTAACTTTGTAATATTTCTTTTTTGACAGAATCACCAGAGAGGTGCTTACACATTGTTCCCACTTCCTTCTTGCTATGTTCTCTTCCTTGTTCAATAATACAAACACCATTCTTAACATTCATTTGGCACTTCTTATAAAATAGCTATTCTGAATCAATGGACATAAGAGCCTCTCCAGATACAACCATACTTTTTTTTATTCTCTTATGTTGACCTTACACTTGATTTGACAAATTTATTTTCTGATGGGAAACGGTATAATACTTTGTAGTCACAACAATGATGAGAGAAATCGCATAAGCCAGGATAATTGTTTGTTATCCATTTGATTAGTAGGTGGTGCTCATTGTAGGAAATAAGGAAGTATTTGAACATTTTCTCCAATGCAAGATGGGATTCTGCAATGACTAATAATTTTGTAACAAATGGAAGCTTTTTGAGAGGATAACAATATGCACCATTCTTGTCCACCATCTTTAATTCAGCAGTGAAGCTGGTTTTGTGAAAAAGAGAAGTGAAATGTAATTATTTATTACACTCAGCCTCTGGTATGTTTACAGCAGTGGTTCTCAACCTTTTGGATACCAAAGACAGATTCCAAGGAAAGAGGTTATTCTTTCCCTTAGCCAGTTTCTTTGCTGTGAAAGGCAGCTGGTGGATTTGCAGAGGGTGTAATGGCTTCCCTCCAGAGGGGCTTTTAAACGTATTTTGTTGACTTTTAAACAATCCAATTCCTTCCTCAGTGAATTTGGAATTTTTCCTACTCGTGTGTTTACTAAGGAGGGTATTAGTCCTTTAATAACTCATATTGGCAAGAAGAGCACTGCTTTCCGCAAGCCTAACTGCAACAATTTTAAAGCTGTTAACTCTAAGGATGTTATCTCTCCCGCACCCTTGAGAAGTGGCAACTTGAAAAATCAACCTCCTATCCGGCAGCATACTGAGATACCGGAGTCAAGCTTGATTAATTCTTTTTGTACTTTGCCAGAGCTAGAACAAGTGGGCATCATTAAAAGATTAGACGACCTGAAGGATCTCTTAGAAGTCACACGTAAAGCTGCAAAACCTCCCATAGAATTTGCTATCCTGGTTGCAGATGTTATTAATGCTCTTTCTGAGAATTCTGATGAAATTCTTCTTCATATAGATGCTGCAAATAATAACAAATATAAAAAATAAAAGAGGTGTACAGGCAAGAAGAAAGGAGTGGTTGCTCAATTACTGTGGAACAACAAATAGAACAACAAATAGAAGATGACCTTGGAGTAGGTGTTGAACTGCGTCATAAGGAGGTTCCCACCTGCTTGTTGCTACTACCTTTGGTCTCGGACACTATCCCACTGGGCCAACCTACAATGATACCTTTGCAACAGGTTGTTGGTCCTCAGAAGCATTTGGAGTCTGTTTACCAATTTGGCAGTAGTGAAGGCAAACACCTAACAAACCAGTGTGTCTTTTTTGACTCTGAGGGAATCTTGGATAATATTACTCCTATGGAATGACTCGAAAATGTTAGTGTCGGGAGTCCTGGTTTGAGCTTCTTCAGCGACAGACCGAAACCTCATCTCTGCGAGGCTTCGATCCGTGCTCGCCGCTGGAGCGCCCCGAGCCGGCTGGCTTCGGGGCTAAGCCACCCCGTAGAGGTGGTGAAGAGGGGGGAGACTGCCTGCAGGGTTGAGGAGAGCCACATCTCTCCTCCCCAGCTGGCCATTACTCCCTTTCCCGAAGGCTGTTGCAGCGGTGGTCAGAAATGGCCACCACAAAGAAGAACTCGACCAGAAAAGAATGTGCAGGAGGAAGATAAGAGGAGAAAGTTTTGGTTGACCGGGTCAAACAGCAAAAACAACAAATAAGGTACCCTGGAATTGAAACTATTAAAAAACAATAACATTGTTCCCTAAGAAGATTTTTAAGCTGTGAAGGAGAGAGAATTGGGAAAAGATTTGGGGTTTTTTCTCCTTTTCCTATACTGACAGCTAAGAGACTTAAGTAAGAAATTGGAAAAAAAATCCACTTTGACATCAATAGGCATTTAATGCTGACAATAAAAAGTCAAAGGGATAATAAAGATTTCTGGATAATTAAAAGCTTTTGAAAACAGGAAAGGAGAGAGGAAGAATAAAAGGGCAGGATCTGGAAGGGAGGAGACTGCCTGGAATTAAAAAAGAACTTATAGCAAAATCTCAACAAGACTTCCAAAAGATACATTCTAACTGAAATATCGCAACAAAAATCCCAGGAAGAGAAAGTCGAAAAAGAAATAAGAAGATATAACTCGGGACTATCTGGATTACTTGATGATTTCTGGATTCTTGGTTATTGTTTTGAATGACTAAAATCAATCGGGTGGTTGTTTAAAACTGTTTAAAATGGCTCCACTTTTAGAAGAACTGAAAATGGAACTTAAAAAGTACAAAGAAAATGCACAAGAAGGGAGAGTTATGGAGGGTTATGGAGAATAATCTTTTGGCGGAGAAACAAGCAGGCTTTAGACCAGAGCGATCTACCATAGATAATTGTTTCACATTATATCATTTGGTAACAAGATATTTAAAAATGGGTAAGAAATTATTCACTGCATTTATTGATCTAAGTGCGGCTTTTGATTCGTTAAACAGAAATATCTTGTGGAGGAAACTGGCGGACCTGAACATGGAGCCCAGATTCCTTTTTCTGGTTGGGGCCCCTTTACTCAAACACCCATGTGAAAATCCATACTGGCGTAAATGAAGTCCTGTCTAAGAGCATACCTACCAATACTGGCGTAAGACAGGGCTGCATTTTAGCCCCAGTGCTTTTCAATCTCTATGTCAATGATTTACCAGGATTCCTGCATGCAGTAGATTTGCATCTG